CATGTAGATAGAGAAGGGCCCAGTTTAAAAACAAGTGTCCCCTTTCAAGCTAGCAAAGGGTTAGGAGACTGTAGTGGTTGATTAATTAATTGCCAACTTGAGTGAGTAAAGTTTGTCTTCTGTCTCAACTTTGATTGACACAATAACATAGCATCAAAAGATGGCCTGGAAACAAGAGCTACCTCCAAACAGTTGCAAAACTTTACCTAAGACTAAAACCAAAATGAAAATGCCAGGCCAGGTAGATAGCTCAGTGGTCTAAGTGCTTTCCTGGCGAGCACAAGGACCAGGGTTCAATCCCCAGTACCGTATGCCCTGCTGGCCATGGAAACCGGGACTGATGATGCATGCCTGGGAGGCTGAGACAGGAGGATCACTACAAGTCCAAGCTGCTTAGTGAGACCCTGTACCAGAGAAAGAAAGAAAGAAAGAAAGAAAGAAAGAAAGAAAGAAAGATTGATTGATTCAATCCCCAGTTCTGCAAAGAAAAAAAAAAAGAAAGAAAGAAAGAAAGAAAGAAAGAAAGAAAGAAAGACAAACAAAAGAAGTGGGAGACAAAGAATGGGAGGCTTCATGAGGGAAGTAGTTTGATTTATATAGATATACTTTACCCAATTATGGCCCCCTTTCACTAAGTGAAACCTAAAAGAGAATTAGGAGAAAGAAAGAGATTATTAATTCAAGTATAAACTCTCAACTATGAATATAAATCCTTTACCATTGTGGTCTTTATCAAAGACTTCTTAAGGAGGGGCTGGTGAGATGGCTCAGTGGTCTAAAGCACCTACTTAGAACAAGCTAAGCAAAGCACAGGGACCGCGGTTCAATCCCCCAGCACCACATGCCAGCCAGCCCCACCTCCTGGTGGGTTGAGCTGGCCACACACAAAAATAAATAAATAAATAAATAAATAAATAAATAAATAAATAAATAAATAAATAATTTTTTTTAAAAAAAAAGTCAACACTCTAAAAAAAAAAGACTTCTTAAGGAAATTGCCTCCTGGAGAACACAGTGCAGTGTCTTGCAGCTGGCTGGCTCAAGGCTTTGGAATTCGCCTTTTCCATTCTATTCTACACCATCCGGATTCAAATGCATGGAGAGCCAGGCATTGGGTCTTGCAGAATACAGAGAGGCGACTGACACAGCAGATGACACAGGTGAGCGCTATGACTGATCAGGGCAATTGTTCGCCAGTCCAATGCAAGTCAGTCAAATTGGATGGGAGAGCCATTGGGCTGGATAAATGGAGGCAGCTTTCTTTGGTAGGGCCACCTGGGGAGGGGCAAAGCTTGGGCACAGACACTCTCCCTCCCCTGTGCAACAAGCAACACACAGTACAAGGTCTACCGGGAATAGCGAGAATCCATCCAGAATAGCTGTTACTGAACCCTACCCAGCAGTCTATAACAGAAATCAAGACTTCCTGGTGAACTCAGAAGGTCTTAACACTTGAAATCAAAAAACACTTTCACAAATGCCTCTAGACTAGCTCTAATTAAAAAAATGATAGGCTGTGTCCTTTGCTTTTTCTATAGGTTCCATATAGTGAGAGGGAGGTCAGCCACTCCGCTCACTATCTTTTTAAATACAGCATTACTCTGTGTCCAAGTTTCTTAGAAAAAGAACCTTCCTGTCATCCACACCCCTTAGATGTTTTAGAGTGCAAAGAGTCTGGCTGCAGGGATGGCCACGCTCGGGATGGACACACGCTTTGAAGCTCAAGGGCCCTAGTGTCATATTTTTCAAATATGACCATTTTAGGCCCCCTCATATGGGTAACTTCTTGGAAAGTGGGAAGGCAGTGGAGATGTGGCCTGCAGCAATTAAAGACCAACATTTCAGGATGGACTATTCCCAAGGAGGTTGATTTTTTTTTTCTAAATGATCCTTCACAGATAAGATAAAAAATGAATCCCTGGACTGATCACCCAGTTAGGCTAAGTGGGCCCCAGAATGCAGGGCATGGGTTTGAGTTTATAAGCTTCTGGTTGAGCCGCAGGACAATATACCAATGCGACATCTGTAACTGGATGACCCCAGTACTGATGCCCTTGCGCTAGAAAGGCATTATCCAGTAAGAATAACTGGTTGCAAATCATTAAGATGACCCCCTCATCCCTCATTTAGATAAAGAAAAAACACCCTGACCTAGCAGTAACCCCAAAGAGGAGGGAGGGATATGAATGATTTATGCACTTTAAAGGTCCAGTTGTAAAACAGTGAGACCAAAACCAGACTCCAGGTGATGTTTTCACTGCCTAGCAAAACTGGGAGAGAAGTATGTTAAGATGCCCCAGCATCTTTATAGTTACCACTCAAATTTTCTGTGGTTAGTGCATAGCCTAAAACCATGATGGTAACCTTGAAGACTGCCCGGAAGGAATACAGAACTACAGACCAGGGCGGTGCTACCTTGAAGACTCTCACGTGGAGCCCAGAGCTGACTCATCACTCAGGAAATGCCGGAAAGCAGCAACTTGTGGCTGGACAGCCAGGCCAAGCCAAACCCTTAGCTAACAAGCTCCAAGTCTGGTTCTTGGCAAAGGACAGTCACTCACCGGATCGAAAATCACCTTATCAAAGATGAAGCGGCATCAAGCTACAGCAAACCCCCTTCTCCACCAGAGGGAGCCTGAAGCCACCAAACACAACCCAAGCCCCAAGTGTTCTGCACAAAATTGGCCACCAGGCGACGTGCGTGCAGGCCGAGAGCTGGTAAGGAAATTAGTTTTCTGCATCTCTGTGTCCTTTGATTAGGGGGAAAGTATAAATCCAATCCTAAAAGGAAACAGCCTGTTTGTTTGCATTGGTGGTCAGCTGAGCTGTGGGTGCTTGTCAACCCTGAAGATTCAGGAAAATTAAAATTCAAGATAACAAGAGTTTTATTCAATTTTGCTAAAGTGGCTACCGAAACAACAAAAAAAGGGTTTTTGTTGTTGTTCTTGTTCTTATTGTTGTTGTTGTTCTTGTTCTTGTTGTTGTTGTAGTTCAGGCTGACCTGGAACTAACTCACCATGTAGCCCAAGCTAGGCTCAAACTTACAGCAATCTTTCTGCCTCAGTTTCCCAAGTGCTGAGATCACAAGTACACATCACCACACTCAGCTAATTTTTTTCTTTTCTGTTTTTTCTTTTTTGAAAGTTGTTTTAATTTTAAAAGAAGATAGCAGCCTTGACTCACTGGTGCTTCTGTTCTCAGGTCTTCCGGCCGTGGTAGGTAATGTAAGCGTGCAGCCTGGGAACCACGTGTAAAGTTTCAAAACCTTTGAGAAGACTAGGAGGAGTTCCGTTGCCAGCACTACACTAATGTGTTGGGGTTGTGTAAAATTGTAAGATAGGACTCTTCATACATTCATCTGTATCTGAAAATAGTCTTAAGGGCATACAACAAATAAAGAAATATATTCAAGAAAACTTACTAAAACTTAATGCAGGGGTAGGGAGAGTCTAGACATTTTAACTCCAGGTTGCTCTCTTCTTCCCCAGTTGGTCTTCCCATTGTAACAGGATTTCTACTCGAGGTGGAGCCAGGACACCCTCTCCACACAGCTCCAAGCAAGGGCTATGGCATCTTCCCAAAAGGAACAATCCATCACTGTTTGCTTTTTCATTCCAGCTACCAGTAGCAGAGCCCAAATTCCAAGTGATTGGGCCAATAGATTGAGACTTTCTTCTTTCACTCAGTCCCATTTATGGGATACAGGCTCTGGCTTGGGCACGGCATACTGAGAATCCTGAAACACCCACGAAGCAAAGGTCTCAGGCCATAAGAAGCAAGCTGAGACTATCACAGCACAAATGCGCATGCGCATGTGCGTGAGCGCATGCACGCGCATGCGCATACACCCACTCACCAAGCACCCGCTTCCTAAAGCAAGAGTATTTTTTGGAAAAGTTGCCACTGTCTCTATGCCATTCTGGAACCATAGCTTAGAATGTTTCCCAAAGAAAAAATAACAGATAAAACAGTGCTTCAAAGCCCATCCTAAATAGAATTTATTTCAACAGAATACAAAGACGTTCAAACCTAAAGGTACTCGTGAATGAACTGACCTTGTAGTGAAAAGCAATTAAAAGAAGGCCGGTTGCTTCAAGAATAATATAAGCCAGTATATCAGAAAGAACCTGGAAAAGAGACTGCTGAGAAGAGCCCTCCTGAAGTCAGAACAACCCTGAAATGCTAATTTCAGAGACTCTACCTACTAAGGAACCTGAAATCAACTGGAGCATCTCCTCAATAAAGATCAGAAAAAGCAACTAGAGATTCTATCCAGATTAACCCTTCTGCCTGGAACAATTTAAAAACCAACACAAAGATATAAAAATGTATTTCAGGGCTGGCCAAATAACTCAGTGGATTGAAGTGCCTTCAAGCAGATGCAAAGGCTGAGAGTTCGATCCCCGGGCCGGCTGTCCCGGCCCCGTCCCGAGGGCGCGCTGAGCTGGTCATTGAGACCGGACATGGTGGTGTGCACCTGTAATCCCAGCTCTTGGGAGGCTGTAAATAGGAGAATCACTATGAGTCCAATGTAGTAGCGAGACCCTAAACACCCTATAGACCCTTCCCTAAAATACAGAAGGAAAAAAAAGTCTTCTATGTTGCCGGACATCAGGCAATGAAAGACAGTAGAGAAGGGGAAAAGGAGGAGCCCTACAATTACCCCAGATTACTGCATGGGAAATTTCCAGGCTGGGGCTCAGGGAGCAGAGAATGTGGAGAACCAGTGGCCGCCTCACTGAAGAAAAAGAGCTGTTCAGGACCCCGGGCAGCTGGAGGAGGAGCCAAAGAGAAGAACCTCGCATCTGCTCCAATACGGGCCTAAGCAATCTGACAAATGATACCTTCTGTTAGTTGCACGAACTATCATCCTGTATTTAGGTGTGTTGTACTTATTTTTGTCCTGTATTACCAAGCGTTTCCTAGCATACTAATCAGTTTTGCCCTCTCGTCGTCTTCTAAACTTCACTTGGTATCTCTTAAAGCAGGCCTTATTCTTGACAACCTTAGCAAAATCCATCCTGTGTGTCATCCTTGCGCAGGGGCCATGCTAATCTTCTCTATATCGTTCCAGTTGTAGCATATGTGCTGCCGAAGCAAGCACCATCCGTGTAATATAGACCCGCGTCCACAGTCCTTCATGGACCTGCGAGCCCAGCTGCACCACAGGGGGAGAAAAAGGAGGACAGCAATCTGCTTCAAGTATTCTGATTAGCAATCACATGCACATGAAGAAACTACGGGAAGCCATGGGAGGGGGGACAATGCACAAAGATTAAAGAGAACAATCCCAGAAGAAAACTCAGGGCTGAACATAATGCCTAATCTCATCATCAAACCTGAAACCCTCACAATTGGTGGAGCACTAGAGTGCTCAGAAGCACGTGTAGATTTACAGTGCTCCCATCACCTCAAGTAAAAATAAATAAATCTTAACAACCTGCAATAAATTCAATTGCTCCCAAATCACTGAAACATGTATCAGAACAAAACTCAAGAATAACCTATAAGAAAATAAAAAATACCCAGCCCTAGCAAGATAAAGTTCACCCTATCTGGCATTTAGGCACCAATCACCAGGCATGACAACAATGGGAAAATATAATCTATAATAAGAAGAACATAAGCCAACCAAAACTGATTCAGAATTGACACAGATTTTAAAAATAAATAGCAAGGGGCTGCAGAGATAGCTCAGCGGTCTAAGTGCCTGCCTATGCAAGTGCAAACACCTGGGTTCAATCCCCAGAACCACGTGCGGTGCCAGCCCTGCCCCATGTGTGTGGAGCTGGTCACCAAGACCCGGTGTGGTAGAACATGCCTGTAATCCCAGCACTAGAGAGGCTAAAAACAGGAGGATCACTACGAGTCCCAGCACCTTAGTGAGACCCTGTACCAAATACATAAATTAAATTTTTTTAAATGAAAACAAATATCAAGAATTACAATGCATGTGGAGATAGATAGATAGATAGATAGATAGATAGATAGATAGATAGATTAGAGATTGATGACAGATTATAAATTGCAGAAGAAAACATTAGAAAACTTGAAGACATAGCGCCTTAGTCACTTATCACTAGGACAAGCACTGAACATCCACAGTTCCAAGGAGAAAAAGTTTGGGCTCATAGATTTTAGAGACCTCAGTCCATAGTAAGCTGGCTCCAAGGCAGGAAGGCCATGCTGGAAGTGTTTGTTGGAGGAAAGCTGCTCCTGTCATGGCAGCCAGGAAGGGAGTCAGACCCGTCCAGGTCGTGTCCCCACTGACCTGCATCTTCCAACCAGACCTCATCTCCTAGCAGCATGTTCAACCCATGGCGGAAACACAATGCCTCCCTGACCCAGTCACCTTCCAAAAGGCCCACCTCTGGGTGGGATCATTCTTGATCTAGTAGTGCTAGAAGCTACCCAAAATCAACAGTGAAAAGACTAGAAAAAAAAAAAATCAATGAATAGAACACTGATGATTCCTATGAGATGCCTTCAAATGGTAAAATATTCACTTCCATGGAGTCCCTGAGAGAGAGGAAGAAGGAATTGAAGAAATTACTGGAAGAAAATTTTAATTTGATGAATACTGTGGTAGGTTGCCAACTGGGGGTCAACTTGTTACACCCAGCTGAACTGAACCAGCGTGGTGGTGGGTGTGGGAGGCCCACCTGAGGATTGTTGCCAGGAGCAGAAGACGCAGAACTAGAGAGGCTGTCGGAGAGGCCATGAGGGAGGAAGCTGTTGGAGCTGCTGGAAGCTGCTGGTTCTCTAAGGCTATTCTACCGAGAGACCTGTCATGCTAGCTTTGCTAGTGAACTTGATTGCTCTCATCAGAGCAGGAGCTCTGGACCTTGCTGTCACTGAGGATGGCTGCAGTTCACTTTGGGGGAGCTCTAGTCCTCACCTTGAGCATCACTTTCTGGCTCCAGAGGGGAAGATGATGCACGGCTCAGTCTCCTGGAGAAGCTTGTCCCATTGACCTTCCTCATGGGAACTCGGCTATTCTCATCCTCAGAGGAGCTCGGGATCTCACTGTTCCTGAGGAAGGCTATGGTATCTTTTGGGGGAGCTCTGATACTTACCTTGAGCGTTGCTTCCTGGCTCTGGTTCAGATCCCTCAGCCTGCTGGCACAGATCCTTCATCCCACTGGCACAGACTTTCTAGCGTCCACCACTGACCTTTGGGCCTTCCCAGTGCAGATCCATGAAGTGGGGCTGCATGAGACATTGTCCTGGGCTCTAGGCCTTCAGTTAAACTCATGAGGGGCATTGTTACGAGCTCTAGGGCTTCAGCTGGATTCACACAGGACATTACTGTGGAATCCAGGCCCTCAGTTGGAGTCTTTGATCTTTAATGTATGGACAGATTTCCTACACTCATTGTATATGATTCTTTGGTGATTCATTATAAAATAACTTTATAGAATATATCCTGTATTATATATTGTTCACCTTGCAAAAACTCCAAACTATGACAAATACTGGACACCACAGTTTTAAAAAGTTCAAGGTACCGTAATCACAGAAACATGAACAAAACTATATGGAGGCAGATCATAAGCATCAACAATGTCATAAACAAAAAATGAAAACTGTCATAAAACTTAAGAAATTTTAAAATGACCAAAAGAAAAAAATTCATCTACACAGAAACAAGGATAAGAATGCTACAGATTTCTCATAGAAACACTGCAAACTAGACAACGCTGCAACATCTTTCAAGCCCTGGACTTTTAAAAGAGGCTTCACTCCACAGTTCTTCACCTAGCAAAATTATCTACCAGGAAAGAAGGCTAAGTACAGGCTGCTCAGCTGTACAGCAGCACCAGGAAACACATCACCAGACTTGCACTACAAGAAATCACAACAGAAGTCATTCAAGCAGGAATCGACCTCGGATGGAAATCTGGATCCACATAAGGGAATAATAAAATATCTATGTGAGTAAGTATAAAGACTTTTTCTTTATTATGTAAACCTCTTTAAAGGACATTGATCTGTTTCAATGAGAAACAATAACATTTTTGAACTAAAATTCAATCATTATAATGAAAGTCTAGTGCCATGGATGACCAGAGTCTTACAAGGGCTAGGAGGTGAGAACTGCTAGCATGCCATTCTGAAGCTCTGCTAACATGTGAATGAAACCTCACTTGAAGGTAAATTAGACTACGGTGAAAATGTGCACCATAAAGCCTAAAACAACTATGGAAAATGAGTTACAGCTAATAAGCTAAAAAAGGAGGTAAAATGAAAGCATCATCCACATAGTCCATTTAATACAAAACAATGAAGAAAAAGAAACAAACATAAGATGCAGACAGAAGGGCCAGCCAAATAGCTCAGTGGATTAAAGCACCTGCAAGTGGGCGCAGGGGCTGGAGGTTCAACCCCTGGGCCTGCCATGCTATCCCTGCCTCCGGGGCGCACTAAGCTGGTGATTGATGGTGGCGCATGCCTGTAATCCCAGCTCTTGGGAGGCTGTAAACGGGTGAATCATTATGAGTCCGACCTAGTAGTGAGACCCTCAACACCCTGTAGACCCTTCCCTAGAATACAAAAAAGAAAGATGCAGACAGAAAATAAATACCGTAATCATATATTTACACAAATAATGCTAATACTCATTAAATTTAATGACCTAAGAAGGCTGAGGCAAGAGGGTTACAAGTTTGAGCCCAGCCTGGATGTCTTAGTGACTTCATGAGACTAGTGACTTAATGAGACTATCTCAAACTAAAATGTAACAACATTTAAAAGGGTAAGGATATGGCTCAGTGTGAAAACCCTAGGTTCAAACCCCAGTACCGAAAAGGGAAATAATCTCATTACCTTTTAGGGACATCTACTTGCATTTATTTATTTATTTATTTGTTTATTATGTATTTGGTACAGAATCTCACTACACAGCTCAGACTCGTAGTGATCCTCCTGTCTTCAGCCTCCCTAGTGCTGGGATTGCAGGCATGCGCCACGACACCTGGTTTCCATGGCCAGCTCAGTGCACCCGGGGGCATGGCTGGCACAGCATGTGGTGCTGGGAATGAAACCCCATCCCTGCGCTTGCCTGAGCAGGCACTTAGTCCACTGAGCTATCTCGCCATCCCCTCTACTTGCATTTAGAGTGAACTCAACTTTGTACAGGCCTGGAAGGCCCTGTATCACCCCTGATCTCACCTCCTACTGCCCATAGCAGCCTCATCTTCTAACCCCACTGTTCCTCGAATACACCAAGAACTGAAGTCTCCTTGCCTCTGCCTATCTGTTCCTTGCCCACAAGTCACCTGCTCAGGGAAGCCTGCCCAGACCTCTGCTCCTCCTGGGTTCCTGGAGGGCACACACATCTCTGCTCTGGCCCAGCCCTGGCTGCTGGTCACTTACGCACATCTCTCCCTGGGCTGGGCCCTGTGCTGGCCACACGCACATCCACCCTTAGCAGTACTGTGAGTGCCTACTACATCCTGAGCACTTGGGGACATGGACAATGAGACCACTGGCCTGTGTCCTGCCAGAGTTCCGATCTAGCTGGAACAGATACTGAATGGGGAATTACAGAGTGCTACACAATCCTTCCCCCTAGGAAGTGACAGGTGATAGGAAAACTGCAGAAACTAAAGGAAGAAAAATAAAAGAAAACTGCAGAAAAAGACCAAAGGCCTACGGTGGGAGCACTTTTGGGAAAGTCTGTCCTTGGGACACTCTATCCTTGGGACCTAAGAGCTAGGGAGAAAGCCATCCTCCAGAAGTGTCCTTGTCCCCAATAAGCTATTTGCTATGCCAACAGAGAGGAGCCTGCAATCCCAAACCAAACATATTCAGAGTTTCTGAAGTAAGTGTGCTTGTCTATAAAATATTAAAGCCAGGCATTATGTGCCTCAAGTTCCAGCTACTTGGGAGACTGAGGCAGGAGAATCTCTGAACCTCAGGAGTTGTGTTTTGTTTTGTGGATTTTTTTAAGACAGCATCTTGCTATGTCATTCAGGATGGCCTCAAACCCTCAAGCTTACAGTAATTCTCCTGCCCCAGCTTCCCAAGAGCTGTCGTTATAGGCGTGCACCACCAGCCCTGGCCAGCCCCAGGAGTCTGATGCCAGCCTGGGTGACATAAGGA